AAAGAAAAAAACCCCAAATATTTACTCAGCATCTCTTCTGTGCCCGGTAGTGTCTTAAACACAACAGGAAAAACAGTAAGTTCTTGGCCTCTTGGAGTTTATTTATTAGTGACTGCAAAGATGAAAATCCCCATGCTCCCGAAAAGCCTTGGACAGCCCCAGACATTCAACAGTTATTTAATGTGTGAGCAATAAGCGACAGGTACCGATGCTGACAAACATCGCGGATCTGGGACTCAGCCCCCGTAAAATGATTTCAGCTCCAAGACCCAGATCCTAAACGTGTGCCTGTGACAGGCAGCCACCAGAGGTCCCCACGCGACGGAAGCAGCCTTACCTCTAGGGTGCATCCGTCCTCATCTGTCCGTGAGCAGAAGCCGCTGGGGAGGTGCCAGGCGCATGCCCAAATCACTGCACAACACTGCAGGGCAGAAAGAAACCCAGCATCCTTAGCTGAGGGGCACTGGGGGTCTCTAAAGCAGCGCTAGGAAGTTCAACTCTCCCACACCCATCCTGAGATATCCTTTTGAACCTGAGTCGGCAGATATTTCCCAATCCTGGAGGTAGGCTGTGTGGCTCCAAGCAAGCAGACATCGGCCTTGCTGATTTTACCAGGGAGGGGCAGAAGGAGCTGGTAAGGTAAGAGAGGAGTGGTGCCCAACCCTGCCATGGGTGGCAGCTCCTAAATGGAGATGCCCTGAGTCACGCCTGATTCCCAGCAAAGCCCCACAGACAGGACTAGAGTCCCACGCCCGCCCCCAGCCTGCTGGGTTAGAAAGGCCAGGAGCCATGTGTCAGAGAAGGCTTACGTCGAAACCCGATGCAAGGGGCCAGGATCGCTCTGCCAGACTCATGCCAAGTACCCGGCTCTCCTGTGCCAGCCTGGAATCCAGCTGCTGTCAGCCACCCCTCCCCTGGCTTCCAAGGCAGAGAAAGAGACTCAGGGACACAAACCCTCTCCAAGAAACAGCCGCCAGGCAATGTGAGACTTCATGCCACAGAAGGTCACTGGGCACAGAGCTTCTGCCATAACACCAGCCAGGCCTGGCAGGACAAAGTCCACCGAGACGTGGGCTCCTGGCATATCCAGGCCCCCTAGGCAAGGGCACCACAGTTGAGCTTCCCGGGCTGCAGGGAATGCCTGGGGAGGTGGCCCTCAGTGGCAGGACACTCCTGAAGCCTTTACAAGCTGCAGGTCCAACTGGTCCTGAGAGGTGAGCTGCACACACCCAGGACATGCCAGGATCCTTGGGCCTGAGGACAGCTTGCACCACAGCCAGGCACGCGTCCTGCCCAAAGCAGGGAAGAGACGCAGGGACCCCACAAGGGTGGGCTGGGCAGACCCAAGAAAGCAGTGGTGAAGAGGTAAGGGGACAAGGGAAAGGGCGGTCAGTTCAGTCAGTAAGTGACACAGCTGACAGGCTGCACTTTTGCGAGAGCTTTGTCACGGATCTGTCTGCGCATACCTTAGAAACAGAGGCCAAGCACCGCAAAAACCACCGAAGGAGGCCCTGTCACGGCTACTCCCAGGAAAGACCACACAGGGAACCAACTGCGCAACACCATCCAGCCAGTGGTGTCAGCGTCCCAACTGCTCCACGAGGGCTGGGCTTGCCCTGAGCTCAAACCAGGGCCCTCACCTGCCACCTGAGCAGAGCTAACAGCTGAGCAAAGACAGGAGCAGCAAGCTGAGGGCAGTGGTGCATACCAGTAACCCCAGCACTCTGGGAGGCTGAGGCAGGAGGATCACAAGTTCAAGGTTTGCCTGGGCAATTTAGCGTAACTCTCTCAAAACAAAAAATACAAAAAGGATGGGGAAGTAGCTTAGTGCCAAGGTCCTAAGTTCCATTCCCAGTTTCCCAGGAGTTTAAAAAAAAGACAGGAGCACCAAACTTCTCAAGAGAATCAGGTAAAATCCCTCCTGGGAGTCAGAGATTGGACCAAATTACTACTAAACAGTCCTCCTCTTTAGAATGGTCCACCAAAACCCTGGAGGGATGTTTCCATAGAAATAAAGATGCTGCCACTCCATTCTGTCCAAATCCCTCAAGGTGCTGCACTGAGGGGGCTCGGGGGCAGTGTAAAGGGACCCATTTGCCAACAGGTCACCAATGGTCCTACTGCTTTCACAGAAGAGGCAGACAACAGTGCCAGACCTGGTCGAGCTGGTTCAGTGGCTCTCACCACAGCTCCTGAAAGTTGGCGGTGCTGGTGCCAATGCTGTAGCTCAAACACAGAGTGTGATCCTCAAAAGAGGAATCCTAGAAGCCTGGACCCAGCAAAACAACCAGCCTTTGCTTCTCTGAAGGAGAGAATGGACCTCACTGTCAGATCCCCAAGGCCACAGCCACGGCCTCCACAGGCAAATACCAACCCGATGCCCCAGGCCCCACGGGGGCAAAGGGAGTGGAGCTGCAGTGTCAGCCTCCCTCTCGGATCCACAGGAAATTCAGCTCCCTAGGAAAAAAGAGGGAGAAGAGACTCCAGGAGAACCAGTTCAGTGAGTATCATCAAGGTGCATTTGGTCAATGATACACAAGAGAAAATCAGTCACCAGTAATAAAAGAGACAAATGCTGATAGCCTTAGGGCTAGCAAGCCAACAATCTACTTCACAACTCTAACAGAAAAAAGCAGAAAGCAATGTTCCGCAGCCAGTAGCCAGTACAGAGGTAAAGGGTGAGGGCCACAGGCATTCTCTGGGGCATAATTTTCGGGAGACTTTTCTTAGATCTTTGGAATAGGGCAGAGTGTGAAAGGTGTCTCCAGCACCGGGACGATGGTGGCTTAAACGTGCTCCATATAACATATCCCAAGTGAAAAGACAACGAACCCTGTTTCCTGGAAAAGGGTTGGATGAGGCCTCCGGCTGCCCCTGGCACACACCCAACTCGGCGCCGTCTCTCCCCTAGGGTTCCTGGAAGTCAACAGACTCATAAAGAGGAAGTATTAAAGCTGAGATTAGAAGAATGGCCTACAAACTGGACACCATCCCTGAGGTACACCCTAGGAAATTTCCTCACAGACGCACGTAGTACCCGGTGTCGCAGACAGAGCCCCTGCCATCTGAGGCCGACACGCCCACCCTGGCCCACGGGCGCCTCAACTGCAGGACAAACGCTGGCAGAGTAGTGTGTGCAACTCCCGAGCTCCCCGAGCCGACCCAAGGAACTGGGAGGAAAGGGAGGTGGGTGCAGGGATGGCGGGGACAGGGCTGATAGGAAGGAAATCGGAGAGGGGCAGAGACAGGGCCACTGCAGGTAGGCAGGGTGGAGACGCTTAGGAAACCGGGACTGCAGGCGCGGGGCAGGGAAGGCGTCCCAAGCCCGCGGGGCAGAGCAGTGGGCATGAGCGACAGAAGCCGGGAGAGCGATGGGAAGCGAGCGAGCGGGCTGCGGGCAGGAATGGGAGGATGGAGGCGGCGGACAAGGACAGCAAGCGGGGCAGGGGACAGATCCACGGGGACCCCGGCGGGGGACGCGAGGACGTGGGGACCCCAGGGAGGGCTGCGGGAGGAAGTCGGGAGCGGAAGAGGACCTCAGGGCAGGGGCCGGCTCTCGGGGGAGTGGGAGGACGGGGCCGGGCGGGACGCGCGCCGACGGCGACTGCAGCAGCC